TATGTACAGTTTTGTAAACTAATAATTTTTTTAGTTGTAAACTTAAGTAGTATTTTATCAATCTGTTTTATAATCCATGTACACCACAAGTGACTGGCTTCTCATATAAAACAAAAGTTTCAAAACTAGGGATATAACAGAAATTTATTCTGCATGCTTGAAAGATTACTCTAGCTATGTGACTTTGAACAATACTGGCTGACATAAATATCAAAATGGTTTACAAATTATGTAAGTACACCTAGTAGACTATACTTCATTCGTTCCAGGTTTACAGTTGTGATATCGTGAGATGTTATATTGGGACTTTATTTTAGGCCTGTGTAAGGTGGTAATTAATTCTTTATGTTATTGTCATTAAGTGGGTAATGAGTCACAAAACAAATAATCAAAACATTTCAGAGGTGGGGGTGCTAAAAGTGTCTTTGCCCCTGGGTGCTGAGAACCCTTGCTACGCCGCTGGGTACAATCTCACCTTTTTGTCACAATAACTTTGTTTTTTTATATATATAAACTGTTCAGCACCTAGAGCTTGGTGATTAACTCTATTAATCAATTACTTACAAGCATTCATTAGTGTCATGAATAAAATCAATTGGTGTTTCCTGTTTTCAATTATTCTAACTAACCAGTAACTGTACTTACAATTAATTTAGTTAAATCACAAACATAATCAGCTAATCAAAATTACCATTCCTGATAATTATTGTTTTTGATCATTCTAGCTATCCGGTAACAAAAAAAATTTTCCCCATCATGATTTTTCATTATTCTTTTCAATTAATTCAAGATTTTTAAGCTCAACTGATTAGTATCAACTCATGAAAACAATCAACTAACTGCAGTTAGGCTTTCTTATTATTACTATTTTTATTATTCCAAGTATCCAACTAATCAAAATTTTTGTTTGTCGTTAAAACAAAGCTACAGAATGGGCTGTCTGTGCTATGCCCATCATATGCGTTGAAACCTGATATGCAGTGTTATAATCTTTATTTTTTTAATTAGCCATCTCATTTGAGAATTGATTACTCAGCTGATGATTAATCAGTTACCAAATTCCACCAATCCCTTGGCTCTAACAACTATATTTTACGTAATGGCACATTTGTGCAAAAAGTTCAAGCAAACAAAATCATTTTTCTCCTGCACAAACAAACTTTAATTACCACATGTAATTATAACTACATGTTTAAACAGCATTTAACTGCCATTTTAATTTACTATACAACTTTCCAATAAATTGTTGAATTTTCTCAATTGGATTTTTGCATTTAGTTCACTCCTATCACAAGTTCTTGAATAATAGGCAAGTGTCAGAAGACTGAAAGTTGGATAATGTTACTCCTCTTTTCAAAAGAGGTGATAAAAATTGTTTCAGTAATTACAGGCCTATTAGTCTTATGTCACTAGTGGGGAAAAGTTTTTGAAAATCTGAAGAAAAAAAAAGATGTTTGAAAAGTCATTTTAAAGAAAGCTTAAAATTTTGTTTCATAGTCATCACGGTTTCACAGGAGAAAAATCTTGCCTTACCAATCTTTAGACATTGTTTGAAGAGGTTATATTACTGCTTAAGTAGGCGAGATAGAGGTGTGGATTTGATGTAACAAAACACAGTACCAAAAAAATAACCTGCAGGACACACTGTGTGTTATTAACAGGAGTGATAGTTTAGTGATTTTCCACATTCTGTAGCTCAGACTGTGGTAATCTAAACTATCACATATATTCAGTGGATGTGCTCTATTGGACTCTTACTTCACATACCTAATACCAAGGCAATCCATTAAGAAATACCTGAGATATGACATCTCCTTTTTCTCTCTCTCTCTCTTTGCATCAAAAGTACAGAAACTATTTAACTGAATGGATTTTTTTTCAAATTTGGTAAACTGATAGATCTTTACAATCTACAATTAGGTTTGTCTGTCTTAGAGCAAAGCCACATTCACTTATCTGCTGTGTCCAGTGAGGGGGAATTGAACCCCAGATTTTGGCACTGTAAGCCTGTAAACTTATCGCTGTCTACCGGGGTGCCCTACAATTAGGAGTTTCATTTGGTGAAAATATAAACTGCATGTGCAAAGTTATTCAACAAAAAATTCTCAAATTTATATACATTTTTTACACATATCTATGCAAAAAAGTCACTAGAGCTATGAGTCTAATGTTTTTATTACAGTTTCACCTAAAAATAAAAGTGGACTGTTTTTACTTTTTTGTCATTCAGATTATAGATGCTGATCTAGAGCAGCAAAACTATTGGGTGAAAGGACATGCAGGTACCTAATTATTGGTTAGGCGAAGCAGTTTCGAGCTCAAGTTCTCAAAAGAATCATACAGGTGGACGGTTGTTATTCACTATTTATTGCCAACTTTTCAGTACAAATTTACTAAATTTTAGGAAATTCTCCTAATTAAAGAGCATTTACCATCACATGATATTAGCTTAAGCAATTAGTATAAATAATGATGCTTGAGTCAGCTGTGTAGATTGCATGGGAGTGATGACAAAAAACTGTTAATCTAAATTCCATAGCATTATTATAAAGGAAGCTATTAACACTGTTTTAGAGAGGAAAAACAACCAGCATATATTTTAAAGAATCTGGTTGATTCCATAAAGTAAAGGTCTGTTCCGAATAATAGGGTTGCGATTATAAAGCTCATGTTGGTTACTATCATATTTGGTGTGGTTTATTGGTATGTATTGACAAAAAGTCATGATATCCAATCAAAAACACCGTAGGTGTGATAAAAAGGTGTGGCCAAAAAAGGATTCAGCGTGCAACTTAAAGGAATGAAATCAAAATTGATGGCAAAACTGGTATATACACCTATAGGATGAATAAGAATTTACTACAAATATTCATTCATTAGTTAGCTAGGCCACATATTTTGTTTTATCCACCATCATACCCAAAGTTAAACAAAAAATGTGGCCTAGCTAACTAATGAATGAAGATTTGCTGTAAAATTCTTATCAATGCTATAAGTGTAGCTACCAGTTTTGCCGCCAATTTTGATTTCATTTTTTAAGTTGCATGCCGAATACTTTTTTGGCCACAACTTTCTTCACACCTAAAGTGTTTTTGATTAGATTTGAATTTTCAGTAAGCATTCAACGGAGTACAAAATAAATGGTTTGTTTAAAAAAAAATTATCTATAAGTGTGAAGGATAAATTAGCTCATTAAATAGAAAAGTGGCTGAATGGAAGAAAGAAGATGGTTGTTATAAATGCAGTTCAGTCCAACTGGATTAATGCCACAAGTGAGGTTGGTGCCTCAGAGCTTAGTATTAGAACATTTCCCCTTTTTTATGATTTTGTTGAAGGAATGGTAAATACATTACTTAAATTTGCTAATGACATTAAGGTCTTGAGGGTTGCTGCTGTAAGGGTCCTGCTGCTGTTTTACAAAATGGATTAAAACAATTTGGCAAATTAGGAAAATAAATGACAGATGGCTTTAACTTATAATAAATACAAAGTGATGCATGTAGGTTATAATTTGATTTATAAGTATAATTTTAGTGGGAATAACTTCACAGTGAAAAGGATCTTGGTTTTCTGGTTTATCATTCTCTTAAGCCATCCAAACAGGAAGGACATTAAATTGTTGGAAAGGGCTCATAGGATGACATCTAAATTGTACTTAGTTTCATTCTAAGACTTGTTGGACTTTCTGATTAATTTAACTATTTTAGTTCGAGTGATAAATAATGAAACAACTATGCATCAAGCCCTTCCTTAAGCTCCTTTAAATGGACTTCATCCGACTAACTACTAAAAAAAATAACAACTGAATTACTGTACTTAATGACTAGTTTTATAAAGCTTTTATTAACCATTTGCTAAGAATACCTGGATAAGTTTAAAAATAAACATCCCATATTTCATTGGACATTTCCATGGTCTGTCTCAAACTGAAGCATGTATTAATAATTCAACCAAAGCAAAAGGGTGAGATAGTAACTGTATTTTGTTAAGCAATGTTAATTGTAGAAAAAAAGTGCACTTATTTTGAATGTCTGATATTTACAGCATAATGAGTAGTAGTAAAAGTTAAAAAAGAAAAAAAAACTCATAAAAATCACTTAAAAAAGTTGCAATAAGAACAGGTAACCAACAGATAAAAACTAAAACAAACTGAATATAGTGACTTACTATTGCTAGCTGTAACTGGAGAATCTCGAGCAGGATAGTAACTGATGTCAATCTGTACATCATCTAACATCACAACCAAAGTACCAGCACCCCGACTGGTTTTCCCACTGGTCTTGAGATCTAAAGTTACTGTCACATGGTCCACTGTGTTAAGCATACACATCTATTCAGGTTATTCTGAAGGCTAAATATATCTCCCACCTTACTAATTCTACAGCTAGCATAAGATTTAAAACATTTCTTCCTTCACAATAATTTATACAAAAATCTAGAATACTAAAAGGAATGATTTATAATTTCAGAAAATATCTTTTTTTATCCCCATGATGTTTTTCCATGCAATTTTATCAAGAAATTATGTTTGGATTTTTTTTGATAATTAACTTACAGGCAATTCATTCTTTCAATGACAGAAATCAGCAATATAAAGTACTTTAAACTTACTAATGCCGAAGGCAATTTATTTTTCACTGCACTAGCTCTGCAACAATCTTCTTACATAATCTTTCATAACATCATGTATTTGATTAACTTCTTTTTTTCACAACACAACCAATCATTGATCACTTACCTCAAACTTTACCTTTTGGCTCTGAATTTTTAAGTTTAAAGAAACAGAAAACATCAAAATGACTACTAGGACTGAAAAAATATCCAAAACATTACCAAAACTATAGCATGAAAGAATGAAACTACTACAGTAATAATGACCCAGTTAATGTAATTACCTCACTGAAAACAAACAACAATGCACTGAAAATTACACATACAACTATGTTTATGTTAAGAATACAGAAAGCATTGGGTAGCCACATTTATTTTCTCTATTTACTGGACAGTGCATATGAAAATATATTGTTCAAGAATGACTGAGAAATGTTAATACTGTTACCAAAAAAAATATGCCTTTTATAAATGAAACACACTATTGGAGTAAGTTTTAAAATTTCTCAAAAAGACAACTTTCAGTGCTATATTACTTATGCCTGCACCTTTCCAGCTTGTTTAGCTTTATTATAAGTTCATCAGAATAGTCCTTGATTTTCATGTTTTGATTTATAACACTTTCACTCACTCATTTTATTCCAATATATAAATAAATAATTCATATCAAATTTTATCTATATTGAATAACATTTACTGGTTGCTCAGTGTAGTTGAAATTTTACCTTGTAACTCATATTATATCTGCATGTTCTGAATATTCTAGATTTTTCCAGAATATTCTAGCTTATTATTATGGAATAATCTAGCCCATTCAGGAATATTGTAGCATATTAATGAAGTATTCCACATTATTTAAAATTTTTAAGAACATTCCATATGTAAGTAATCCATAATGTTACTTTTTACTTCTGGAATATTCTATATGACATGAAAGTAGTTTCTAGAATTTTTGTGAGGGCATATAAGCATTTAAACAGATTTTTATGTATCATTTTAGTGGACACTGTATCAGCATATCATTACAAATAGATACTGCAAGAAGTTAGACTACACTTTGGCTGCTTTGTTCAGAAGAAACTAAACAAACAGGAAGCAAGTTAACTTCAAATATGCAAGTACTGTGTGTATTTTTCAATGATCACACAATAATAAAGAAGACAGTTCATGAAAGCTCAAAGGCTGCAGTAAAGAAAGCTAGAGCTTTTTGTAAAAAGACTCAAATTCCAATTCATTCAAAACATCATGCTATTATCAATCTGGAAAAGCTTTTTGAAAAAATTTAAGATGGGAAACTAAAACACAGCAATCTAGTGAAGCAGAGTCTGTCAATAGTCTGAATGACATTTTTGACATCACTCGTACAGATTCCCAAACTCTGATCAAGATCCCAGAAAACAAGGACTTTCTTCTTGCACAGATGGAGAGAGAATATCATGGGTGCATGGGACAGTTTGAAAATATTTATTTTTTTCTTTAAAATAAAAGGGTTGAGAAAAGTATGCAAGTATGAACAGGAAACAACATGCAGATCAACAACAGCAAACCTTGAATGAAACAGTCATTTGTTAGGAATCATTCCACATCAGTGATGATGAGGTTGGATAAGTAATAATAGTGATGAGGATAGAGAAGCAGATGGAGAATCATCTTCTAAACCTAAACCAATGGCAAGAAGAAATATTATTGCTCTTGATTTATCAGCAGCTATGGACAGAGTCAAATTGAGTGCCAGAAAGGCAACATTTGTCCTCACAACTCATAGCCTTGGCCATGAGATGAATTAGCTAACCATCAACCATTCCTTGATCCAAAGGTCTTGACATTGCTTCTGTGAAGAACTTATCAAAAACTTAAAGGAACAGTTCCAGCCAACAGTATCATTTGTAGTTTACTGGAATAACAAGCTCCTTAATGATCTCACAGAGAAAGAATAAATGGATCATCTGTCACTGATCCTGTCTGGAGCAAGAGTAAACCAACTGCTAGGTATTCCAAGGTTGATTTTTAGCATTAGAGATGCTCAAACTTCTGCTATAACACATTTGTTGGAAGAGTGGGGAGTCACTGATCGATTAAAGGCAGTCTGCTGTGTCTCAACAGCTAGCAACACTGGTCACAGAAATGGAGAATGTGTTTTGTTAGAACAAAGATTAAACAAGAATCATCTGTATTTGGCATACCGGCATCATATGTTAGAACTTGTTTGGCATGTGTTTTCAAAATCTGTATGGGGCTTTCCTCTGATCCAAATATTGCAATTTTCAATTAACTCTATCATTCTTGGAAAAACATGGACCAGTCAGTTATGACACTGCAACTGACCATGATGAAGTAGCAGAAGCTATAAAGGAAGTTAAGGACAGTGCCACTGAGTTTGCTACAAAACAACATCAAGTCACCTAACATAGAGACTATTAAGAGCTTCTTGAACAAGCTATAGCCTTTCTTTAAGACATCCTTCTTCATAATGTACAATTTATTGCACCTACAGCACTGTATGTTGCACAATGGATGGCCAAAGCATTACATGTCCTTAAAATCTGGATTTTTATGGGACAGTTTACCTCTATCACTTATTACAGTTTTCATACTATAAACTTTAAATACAGTATGTGTATCTTCACGAAATTGTGCTGATTATCAGTAAACATTACAAGGCTTTTGTACATAAAATGTCAATTTCTACTTCTCAAAATGAACTTCCTACAATGTCTTGTTAAGTATAAGAAGGTGAATTCTGCTCTTTCAAAATTTGTCCAAATTTGCTGAACATTTAAGTTATCTAAATGACAAACTCATTGGTTTGGCATTCTTTGATTCAGCTGTGTCCACAGAGACAAAACAAGCAATGGTAAAGGCATTAAATGAGAAGGAAGGCATGAATGAAATCCCAAAGCACATCCAGCCAAATATCAGGAAGGCTAAAGATGTCAATTAAAATATTTTGTCAAAAGGAATACAACAGACTTCTTCAGGTGCCTTAAAATTCCTTCTTGATTCCTGGATTTTGGTTCTGAGTCATGGGAGCTCAGAGAAGACTACATGGAGGCACTAAAGACAGGTTGTGGTAAATGACAATGCTGAAAGGGGTTGCCTCTTATTGAGAAGTAAAATGCCATCATAACAAAGAAAGAAGAACATGAAAAATTCTTCCTTCATCTTGTGCAAGATCACAGAAGACACTTTGCTAACAACAAAAGGGAAACAATTACAATGCAAAAATGACTAACCACGACAAAATCATATAATTAAGTAACAAATGTTTTGTTTTTTAAATCACATAGTCCATATGGTACCAGGCTCACTGCAGTCTAGAACTTTCAACCTCATTGAGCAGCCTCTAAACAATGTCCAAAATGGATGAAGTTTGACATTTAATGTTTTTTTTGTACACTGAAACAAAATCAGGAAGTGAGACCTTTGATTTTTTAACCTGCAATTTCATCTCCAAATAAGGACAACCATAATGTTCATCAACTTGCTTAGGCAACATTACAATGTCTTTAATAACAATAATTACAAAAGTTTCAACATTATGCACTTTTTCTAATTTCTTTGAAAATGTTGAACATTTTGTAGTCAAGGAAAATTTCAACTGCTTATAGATTAATCCTAAATATAATGCTTCTCCTAGACTTTAAGGAAAAACAAAAACTCTTGTTTGAATATTTAGACCATGATCACATTAGAATGCTTAACCAATCAACTGTAATGTTTCTAGCATGTATCACACATACATACAATATAACAAAGTGGAATACATTCAAATCATTTTTATATAAGTTTATGTTAAAGACAACTTTATATAGTGCAAACAGCACTTTTTGGTCATTTTTAGTGCAAGGTACAGTTACTTCTTGGTAAGAATATCAAAAGACAATTCATAGAGACAAAATATACAAGGTAGATACATCAAAATCCAGGTACCAGAAGTTCATATAAGTACTTATTTTCTATTTGTTGTAGTTCATGTTATAGCAATATGTGCAGACTGTCTAAATTATTTTGATGTAACAATTAGCATTAGTTACACAAGGAAGTTGTTCCTACACACATTCACTTTTAGAAGTTTTAAGGTTCTTTGTTTCTAAAAGATCCATTCTACTAGTGCTTAGCTTTAATATTAGATCAGTCTTGGTAATTTTCAGCTACTATCTTTGTAGTGATGTGTCATGATAGTGGTATCTGTCTTTCAAAAACAGATGCTTGATGCACAGCTGTGACAGAAATTATCTAAAGTAAAAATTCTGTCAAATTATAAATCAATTGAAGTTCACTAAACCTAATTTGTTAAATAATTTTATATTTATAAAATATAAAACTTTTCAGTTGTAGCTGCAAGCTACGAAACAAATATTGCTTTGGTCCAATGAATATGTGAAATCAAGGTTTGCTTAGTCTTATACATATAATAGGAAAAAAAAGCATATGCATATAAGTAACACTTACGTCGGCCTCCATGTGTGGCAAGAATATTGTGAAGATCAAAGACACACTCTCCAAGCACACCATTCCGAATCAACGATCCATGATTGCATATCCTGAAGTTAAACTTGGAATAAGGACTGACCAGTCTGAAAAAGTTATAACATTATAATTATCTTATAAATATGCATGTTACACAACTTTCTTCATTATCATTACATTATAGCTCACAAAAAGGATCCATGGGTGAGAGAAGAAAGTTGTCACAGTACTGAACATTTCCAAGCATTTACAAACAAATCTTTTGTTCCAACTTTGTCAGCACACATGCAATTATCATTAATATTAGGCTTGTGAAAGAAACCATTCTACAGGAATGCATGTGTATAAAAAGATGACTCGAGTGTGAAATGAAAGTTTTTTGTTTGCTTTTAGCAAAAGGTTATACAGTAGACTATTTTTGCTCTGTCCATAATGCAGTCAACATCAGACTATAGCCCTCCAACAACAGTAGGGTGACACATCCTCCATGAACAGTTTACCAACATGAGTACGAGTATTAAGAATAACTCATTTTTGATGAGGCAAACTAAATGCACTTGTAGTGAAGAGGAAGTATCAAAGGTGGGGCAGAGATGTATCTATTTATCTGAAATATATTTTTAAGTAAGAAAAAGGTTAAGTTCAGAAATGCTACACACCTTACTGCACCACAAATAGCTAGAATCCAACAATGAAGATGATGTTGGAGCTGGTGCAGAGAAGTTACAAAGATGAGATCCTTTCTGAACAAAACTGTTGCACAAGGCAAGGGGTAACCTTAATGGGACAACATTCAGTGGAAGACCACATTCACCTAAATCAGGGAATATTCTTCAACCAACAGAAGTGGTAGAACAAAACATATTGTCACAAGAATCCTTTGCTGGGTGCATGTGTGTTACTAAGGTGATACTTATCACACATACTTATGTAGAGTACTCACCATGAAAATCAGGTGCTGGAAGTAGCATCCTAGACCAGTATCCCAAGGCAAACCTAAGACCCATCCAGCTGGATCTAATCACCAGGAACTGCTGGATTCATAATGTAGTAGGGTGTTCTTTACTATACATACAGGTAACACTCCAGCTTACTTCCCAAACAAAGGGTGCATCTACTCAATACCAGAGTGGCTGCACCACTCAATGAGAAACTCTCTTGAGTTCAACTTCCCTAGTGGCTTTGGACTGGAGAAGCAAGAGTTCTCCCACACTCTACTAGAATAAATGAGGGGTGGAATTCTTGTGGGAGAGAACATTAGAGACATGCATGGACTGTTGTCATCAGGCAAAATAGTCTGAAATTAAGTTCCACACTGAGAGACAGCAGGTGTGAGAGCAGGCACAAACCAGTTTTTTTTTGTGTGTGTTTTTGTTTTTCACAAGTGCAGTACAGCCTGGAAGATACATATAGATACCACTGAAACAGTCTTATAGGAAACATCATCTCCACAGCAAGTGCTAAGCTGGGATAGATGAGCTTAATACTTTCTATACTCTTCTGCTCAATGCACATTTTCTGTAAGTACTCCACATGAGGCAACACCATCCGATTGTTGAGTTTAATCATTTCCATAATATTGATATAAATACATATAATTGGAATAAGTTAGTTGGGAGATCAGTAAAAAAGAAAGAAACATTACTCACCATCAGAGCCATTGTGAAAAGTGGAGAATGACCATTGGAGTGAGACAAAAGCTAAGGAAGATGAAAACTCCCTGGGGTTTAAGTAATGAGACAACAATCTGTCAGAAGTCATCCATATCTCCACCTGCAAAATCTCATATGAAGGATGTCGATGGCTTGTTGAACCTGGGATTGAATACCTAATGAGTAGTTGCAAGAAGTGAAGGTTAAGTGAGGAAGAGTAAATCCACTGAAAAAAAATAGAGGATGGAGAAATCAGTCAGTGGGCAAGGACCAAGCCCAGACAAACCAGTTTAGCTGCCACCAGAGTCTAAGTTTTGGAGACATGACAAATGGTCAACTGAAAATGGTGGTCATGGCCACAAAAAGAGAAGATCCAGAACCAGGAAAAGTCCTGGAAGATTTGTGCCTCCCTGTTAGGGGAAAGAAGAAACAATAGAGGAGATGTCTGAATAGATCATAAGAAGGCTAAACAGATGATAATGGCAATCCTGTACAGTAGTCATCAGCTCAATGACAAAGAGACAGAGAAGCCATGCCCTGGAAACAAAATGCTAGAAATGGATCAGGTGCCCAAAACTGCACTCCACCAGAATAGAAGCAATGAAAAGGTGTGGTCACATGATTCATTCTTGTTAAGCACAAAGCCAACACAAAGTGTCACCTGTGCTACACTCATCATAGGTATGGAAACCCACATACATAAGTGGAAGGAGCCCAAAGACTGAGTTTTGAGTGGGTACCAAAGAGAGACAAGTCAAGGTAAGGTGGAAAAAGAGGGGCATTCAAGGTCCTGTGGAATCGAGTGAGTCACCACGACTGCAAGAGGTGAAAAGAAGACAGAGTGTCTCTTGATATATATGCATTGACAGGCCAGAAACCACTGAAAGGAACATATATGGACACATCCAAGAGGAACAAGGAACTCAAAGAGTCCCCAAGAAAGACTCATGCAACAAATGAAGGAAACACGAGTCCTAGTATAAAAAGCACCATGTCACAAAGACAAATAAGCAGACTGAACCTGACTCACATACAAACTGAAAGATCTGTAAGTGAATGAAATACAGGATGGGGATCAGTGGGAGAGCCAAATCGTCCACTCCAAATGAGACAACTTCTAAAGGGGAAAGGGACAACCAAAGAGGAAGTGACAATAGAAGGAGCAAATATAGACCAAATGTTTATATAGTTGTGGAACAACAAGCCACAAAAATGTAACCTCTAAGTAAAAACCCATGCAATGGACCCAATAAAAAAGATGTGGCCTTAGAAAACTCAAAGGAAAGAACTGAGAACCAAATGTTCAACCAATGTGAATAAACCAAAAAGTGAAAGGCAAACAGACAAACTGAGATTTGGAGAAAGTATCTTAGCCTCCAAACTGGATCATTCACCACAGGGGAGAGAATACACTAAAAAGTGAGAAAGCTGTCCATTGGAAATCTACGGAGTACCAAAGTTAGGTCAAGTGGGACAAACTGTTTAGCCAAAAACCTCCCATCATCACAGGAACAATTAAAAAACAGAAATAAAATCCCAGAAAGGGACTGAGGTAACATACCATAATGTTTGGAACAGGTAAGGTAGAGAGAAGACGTACATGAAAAAACCTGACAGCACCTAAGAAACTTAATAGGTTGTAGCAAAGGGAGTTCACAGTTCACCAGTGTAACAAGAAACAGAAAAGTAATGACCCCATGAGGCTGTATGTGATGAGAAACCTGGTCCCAAGAGCAAGAAATCAAGGTGAAAAAAGATAACTTCTGAAGATCTGCATCAGCTCAAGGTAACAATATATAAGAAATACTCCCACAAAACACATCACAAAGAAAAGGTGCAAGATAGAGGTCCTGGAGAGGAGACTGAGGGAGGTGTAAGTCAAAAAGTAAGCAAACCTTACAAAACAGACCCCAGAAACAAACAAACAAAAATCCAAAGATAAGGCATAAAACAGGTATGTGTAAGATGTACCAGTAAAGTTGATAAATTCATGATGGAAAGCATCCAAAGAAGCTGAGTAAGAATTAAGTTAAGTAGATGTAGAAAAACAATGAGGGTCATTTAACAACGAAAGCCAATTTCAGCAACAAATTACTGGAGAAAGAAAACAAAATTATGGAATCCAAGCAGTGAACAATAAAAATAGAACTAACTACCTGATCCACATCATAAAAAAGTAAGGAAAACAAAGGTAAGCATGGAAACAACAGTGGTGAAACATGTACAAGATGAGGCAGGCTTAGCTGAAGTTTCTGAATCAGGAAGTTAGGAATTCTGGATCTGAAATCAGAATGGAATCAATTATGTGGTGCACAACAGCAGTAATGTTATTGACTGTCAGCATCTCTAGTTTCCATTAAAGTATTGGACAACTCCTGTGAAGGAGTGTTAAAACCTCAGGAGATGTCAAAAACACAAATGCATAATTCAGTTAATCCATGAAACTGATGTTGTGGTGGTCTTTTTTTGGAAAACACATATATAAAATGAAGATTATTGTTTCCTTTGTTATTAGTTGGAATAAAAATGAACAAAGTATGGAGATGTTGCATAGGCCTAATGACGACCTTGAAGTATACTGGACAATAACCAAGTAAAGTGGATTAAACAGAAAGAAGCAATGAGTTGTGTGTCCTAAAAAGTACATGGAAAGTTAAAAGAAAAGAAAATTGACGATAATTCAAAGGAAAGTTCTAACTGATAAATAATGTAAGGTTAAAACAATAAGCACAAAAATTCTAGTAAGTTTTAAGTAAAAAAAAAAAAAGACATCTGAGGACAAGAAGCATTAAGGAGAAAATGAGCTTGTGTTCATGTACTAGTCTCAAGGGGATAACTGCACATGGAGGATGTGCCAACCTTCTATTAGTAGAGGGCTATAGGCTAATGATGATTACATCATAGCCTGGAGCAATACACACTGACATGTATAGGGCTGGAAACTTTGTTCAAGGCTTATGGGATGCACAAAATTTTACCTGGGAATGTGCATGAGGTAATAGCTCTTTGTGGTGCACAGAGGTAAGCAGCAATTCTAAAATAAGTTTTTCCATTACAACAAGTACTCAACATTTACTATGTTTTCTGGTATTTAAATACTCAATTTAGAAGTTCATTGAAATGGAGACTTGTAGTTAGCATGAATATAACACTTTTTTAGTGGCAGAGTGTCATATACAGTGAAAGTATGCTGCATCTTTACATATATATATATATATATATATATGTGTGTATGGTAGTTCTTTTTTTTAGTTTCACATTTAATTTTTAATACTGTCACAATTAAAAGTTAATTCACCCTTAATTGACAGTTCAGTTATGAAGGCTAGCATCAAGAACTTTTTTTTGTCAACTTTATGTAACAAAAAAATGGCAGTATTGCAATAAGTTATGAACCGAATTACAAATCCATCTTCATCTGAAATAACTGATAAATCACCAAGTTTTAACGCATTCATCAATACCAATTCTTAATTTTTCAATTATCTACTGGTGAAAATCTCCATTACAAAATAAGTTAGTAATATCATGATACGAAATTATATTCTCACTGTTGACCACAGTTATGTTACACTATGCTACTATGACCATGTCCACTTTGTACCACTATTACAAGGACTTGTATATGATGTTTGGTATGACCACAAACAACACTATATAGAAAAACTGGTATGTGATTTAGTGAAAATTTTATGAATAGGAGTATTTCCATTTAATAAGTTATATTTTGCACAAATATAACTGAACCCTGTTGATTCTGTTTAGAGCAAAGTACAATTTTTTTTTTATGTTTAAAACTACACAACCCTTTATGATAAAATTCTATCCAACTCATCCTACTTGATTTCCAATCCAGTTACTAGGTCAAACTTTTGAAGTGTCTTGGTTGCCCTAGCACTTTCAACCCCTGTAAATAATTATTGTACTGATGTCATGAAATGTGGTTTTGTTTAGTTCTGGTTTATAAAGCAATAAGAATTGCTAGACCAAATGAAATGAATAAATTATCCATATTAATTACACTTATGAAAATATCAAAAAGCCAATTTAACCAATATATATATATTAATTTGACATTTAATGTAAGTATAAGTATATGTAAAGAAATTAAGTTAACTGTTAGTGATTATCAAATTACATACACATATATATATGTACAGTACTGGAAATAAGCATGAAAACACACAGGTGTCACATACAATGAGTAATTTCAACTAAATCGTTGATCTATCATCAGTACAATAACTGCAAAAAATAGAAAACAAAAGTATACAAGTTGTATGATGCACAAGTATTTCATATTTACTTTAAACAGAGCAGTACACCTTGTTTTCATACAACCATAAGCTTAATATGTATGTCTATACATTATTATTTCAAATGTCCTATGTTACTCTCCATTTTAACCACTGTTTGGTTGCCGTTTGACCTTCTTATTTTCAGTGCAAGCTCATACGGCCTTAATAACATTCATATTGGAATATTCTTTGATAGATAGTTTAAACAGTGTTCGTATTCAGTTGACTGTGAATTGGGTGGCAACTGCATATTATAGAAACACTTGTAGAAGTGTACTGGTGACTATACAATCTACTTATGCAGCTCAAACAAACACACAATGATTGTTGCCAAAGAATTTTAATTCAGATTCATCTGTAAATAGCACTCCCTTACAACTTTTCTCATCTCACTGTTTAAAATATGATTACCATTTCAGCATTTCGGTTGGGTTATTTATCCTAAGAAGTGGTTTTTGAGCAGCTACATATCCATTAAGCCATTTCTTACTATTGTGTATCTCACTGTTCACACACCGGTACATACTGCTAGGTCAATGGCAAAATTTCTATGGGGTTGTTGTGTATCATGTAGTTACTTAACACATTTGAAGTTTGGGCTTTCTATCTTGACCACTTCTATTACCAATAATACTTGTTTCATGCACCCTCTTCAGAGTTTCCATACAGCTCTTACTTCAACATGCAATTTTGCCTTAATCTATAACATGGATTAGTCTTCACCAGCCAAAACTTTAGTTTCTACACATTTACCATGTGACATTTCTGTCTTGGAAGTCACAAGTGCATTCACCACACTACTGTTCAGAACTGTATGGCTGCTTGTACTGTTATAGGCAATATGCTGATTTGGTACTGCCCGATTGGTTGGACAACAGCCAATCACAAAGTCAATGTAAACTATTTACATGTGATTGTACCTTGCTGCAGTTCATTTTCATAAAAAAGGGGGACAATCTCATAATATATATGCATTGTTATTTACCACTTTATTTGTATTTATTTGTCTCACTTCAGTAGAAAAGGAGCCTTAAAACAAAATGTTAGAAATGTGTACACACACACACACACATACATATATATATATATATATGTAGCATCATACTTAGAAACAGTACACTGATTTTTATACATATTTTTCTATGATAATACAGGTAACAGTACAATAACACATGATATCATCATTAATACTAACAAATCATGTTCTTTTTGGATGAAATTGATTACAAGTATGCATGCCTAGATCACAACTTAAGACATTCAATACATTTGCAGACTTGAGAAAAGGTTCAAGCTCAGCTACAATGACAAGGAAATATACAGTGAAAAAGATTAAAACAGAAATATAAAATAAAGTTTCAAAAAATTAAGAAGTTTAATATCTCAAGATAAATGTGAAAAGAACTGTCTACATTAATAAGTTTATTCACAGATGTACAAACAACCAATTAGACTACGGCAAAGCAAATAGGTTTCGAACTTTAACTTGGCTCAAATTCATGTACTCGTTTCGGTTTCATAAAAAATTTAAGTTCAAATAAAAAAGAATATTTCTGTAAAATGCACTATCAAATAACAAACAGATGTTTTAAAGTTTCATAGCCATATTAATTTACAAAAAAAAACGTAAATTTCCAACATAAAAGTTTTTTTTTTTAACTTTATTTATCAACTGTGTATTATTTCCTACTGTTAAATGCCCTATTATAATGTACAGTTACAACACTGCTAAGTTTTAAATATCTTAACAAAACAAACACTATTGTCTACACAAGCTACTATTATTTCATTCAACAAGTTTTAGCAAGTGAAGGAATGCTTTTTTAAATATTTCATGCTATGATTCCCCTGTAACTGACAAATACAAATATATGGAAAGGTAAAGTTTGAAATTATTACAGTTAAACTTGCTCCAAAAACTAGTTCTTTATAAATACCATTTCAATAAAAGTTCTACAAGTGTTTTTGTATTATCATTACCACTGATACACCCTGCATAGTGATCTCTTGGCCAATGTAACCAAACCCAATGGTATACAGCCACAAAACCTTATCCACATCTAGCAATTTATATTGCATTCTGGTTCCAAAAAGTATAAACCTAGCAGCAAAGAGGCAAATATCACAATGAAAAAGGGAAATATATCATTCCACATACATTGGATCAGTGTACCAAAACAAGTGTTTCAACACCTGAAACATATAAAAGCTACATTAGTTAATGCTACAGCATGAATAAACTTATAAAAATCATTAGAATATTAGAACCTTGTAATTTTTCCTTCTTCTCAATGTTAGCTTTAGAACAGTTGTGACTAAAAGTATAAAAGTTCAGCTTCATTTACTAAAAGGTCCTTATAATGTGAAATTCCACAAAAATATGATACTGAAAAATCACTGCAAAAGTTATTTTCAAAAAAGCTACAGAAAAAACTCACATAGCAAACTGTTCTTCCCACTTTGGAGTAGTGGTACTTTTCTGATACTCTGTCTTCACAGGGATTCCTCCATCCACAATTAGTTCCACATAAGGATCAGGCTTGAAGAGGATCCCAGAAGATTGAAGCTTGGCTGATATAACTGGCAAAAAAGGTACAAGTTAGCATCTTTTAAATTCAGAATTACTTTATAGAATAAATGTACAATAAAAATGGTGCAAATCAAATTGTTATCCAGTAATTGACAAGGCTGCCCTTTACCTCATTATATCTTAAGTATTCCAGAGAAGTCTATATAACTTTAGATTTGTTCAAACAATTTAAAGTCCCAAAATGCAAACAGCATAGTGTTCCCTTAGTAACACAATTATTACTATGTTAATGTTATCTTTGTATAGATACCAGGTGGAGTTTAGAATCCAAATGTGGTTTTATGAAGTTCTTCCAGGACCAGTATTTTTACACACTTCTCTTTCTTTTGAGCTTAAATCTTTAAAAAAATTCACTGCAATCAGCTCTTTTGGTTTTTCCACTGGCATACTGAAACTACTGAACATTTTTTTTTTTCTTTTACTGTTAAAGCATAAAGAATGTGATGAAGGAAGTACCCAGCTGTATGTGTTCTAATTCCTGAAACTTTATTATTTTTTAAATAGATTTGTTTCATTTGGAGATTTTCTGAAGTAAAAAATATAAACCTTGCTTATACAAAACCCACCCCTCCAAAACACTACTATTTGTTTTCTCCTCTTCTTTAGTTAATCTTTCACTCTTTACTTTTCTTTGAATATCAGTTGTAGTTGAAGTGGGAAAGAGACCAAGAATCTCAATATTAAATGGCATAAAAAGTGTGAATATAACTTAATAATCAGATGAGTATCAATATCTTCACTACTGTACAAAACATTAAAAGTATGAACATAATTACAAATGTTTTATTCTAATGAGGTATGATCGAAAATTCAGTATAATATTTAAATATTTTAATAAATTTTAAGTTGCAGTTTTGACATTTAAAAGGGAAATAAGATATGGTAGATCACATGTTGGCCATACATGTATAAATATGACAAATATAATTGTTAAAAAAAAATATTTTTCTTAAAAAAACAGGAATATAAAATTTTGCACTAAAAAATATCTAAACACATGTAAAAGTTATATGTGTAATAAACATTTGAACAGAAAACATGACTTAATTAACCAAGGAATGACCTTGTGTTGATCATAATACTTCAGTAAATCATGTCTAAATTAGAATTTAATACTCTATGAAAGAAAAAAATTTTCAAATTCTGTATGAATAATTTACTTCATAAATTTTTACAAACTCTGTAATAACAAAGAAGGAACGATTAAAATGCTAGGTTGTACACACTTTTCACTTTCAGTTCAAAAAGAAGATCTGAAGGGGGTGATGTACCACTGCTCATTCTCCTGTTGACCTAATCTAGATGAGAAGAAACATGAGGTTCAATCATAAGTTTTCTTAAGGAAATGTTTGCAGCTTCTATGGTTTTCCTCCTCTTTTTTTTTATCCAAAGAGCAAACATTAAGAATATGGTGACAATACATACAACTTAAAGTTTGGCTATTTAGCTAAGCTATACTATATATTTGAGCCAAATCATAAATCCAGTCCAAAATATAATGTAATTCCTAAAAGTTTATAATCATACATTATTTAACTCCAAAAGTGACAGTGTCACAATTAATGTGATCAGCTACATATACAACAAAAGAGCAATTCTTTCTCTACATTAAAGATTATTGTTAAACACACGTCTATTTGGTAACAGGAAATCTCACTACATGTTCTAATGTATGCATTCATTACAGAGACCAGAACAGTCAGCACATGTATCATACAGTATACATGTACATCAACCAGTACATGTACAAGAACATCTACTTCAAAACCAACTACATGCAAGCAGGTAACACAAGAAATTCTTAAACCTTTGCACAGAAATGATACTCAGTTTTATGCATATTTGAATATCCATTTCAAATATAATTGTTCCTACATATTGAAAGCCTTACACACTGGACTTTATTCTGTATGACTAGTTCTTTATAAACTAACAAGTATTTTTGTTTGTTTTTCAATGATATGTTTCATAAAACAAACCAGCATGTATTTCATGGGAAGAAATAAAAGTGTATTACATGTAAACATTATTAGACCTACTTCCAAACTTAAAATACATTTCATTATCAATAGTCTACTTACATAAGCCTAAATGTCATGTTGCTTAACTACTAATTTCAATCCCAAAGTAAACAAGATAATCATTATCGTTTCATTAAAGTTAAGAGTTATCTTACCACTGTAGACATAACACATCTCGTACAGTAAACAGAAAATGAAGGCAGCTTGTAGAATGTTAGTCTCTGGCACATCCAAATAAAGGCATGTAACAAAATGGTCATATTACAGTATTTAGACTAATGTTTCATGCTCTCCCCCCCCCCTAAAAAGCAAACACAATAATATTGTTACTGCTAACTTTGCACTTGCAAGATGGTTGAGTACTGATGAATACACTTTTCCCTTTAGTCCTTCAGTTTAAAAATGATAATAATTAAATTAGAAAGATATAAAATAACATTATGTACTCAAAGCAAATAATTCTTGAAATGTAGCTGACAGTAATCCTCAACTTTTAACTTCAAAGATCAAAAATAGCATTGATAAAAAAAAAGGATTTTTAACTGATGCAAAAGCTTTATTTAAATAAAACTACATATATATTATCTTATATACAGTTCCTTTTTCAAAATGGACCTCTTTTCTTCAACACATGTACACTGTATGCATAGCTTTAAATATTTTTATATTTTAATATGGATCATATAGCTATTTTTATCTTAGTTACTCTTCATAGACTAAGAACAATATTGGTTTATACTTTTATTGCTAAGCAACATAACATTAAAGCTATGTTGGAATGCATTGTTACCAAAATGCAATAGCTTTTTCTATATATTAGAAGTTGTTATATAAGGAATCACTTCTTTTCTATGTGGTTTTTCGCTAGCTGGTCTCATTAAAAAGATGTGCAGGCCCATGCACACATGCATGTCTGTCAGTGTGATTTCTATTTGTAATATAAGAAAATACACCATTAAATATTGTTTGATACAATTATTTTGAGAGTATAGATGCTGAATGACCAACTTATTCAACCCATCACGATGTTGAGAAAAACAGTGTTCACTGATTTGGTAAACAAAACTAAAATGCCATTCATAAATCAAAAATTTATACTGAATGTTATTAAGAAAAACTATAATAATTATTAGATAGCTAAGAAAGCGTTACTGATGCACCAAAAACATACTACTTACATTGTTAAAAGGAACAGTATAATCACTGTTTTGGAGAAAAAAACTGTCACTGTCACACAAAAAGTCTATTCTGCTATTGTTGAGATAAATAATATTCACTGACTTGACAACTATGAAGATATTGTTGGTACACCAAAAAGTTCCTATTGTTGTTGTTGATTATTCTTGACTTGATAGTATCTCAGAGAATTTCATTCATATATCAAAATGTTGGTAACAATGTTCACACTTCTTTTGTATGTTGTTTTTTGCTAGCTTGCCTCATAAAAATATGCACATGCACATGTGTGTCTGTCTGACTGTCTGAGATTTCTATTTGTAATATAAGGAATCACTTCATTTCTATGTGGTTTTTTGCTAGCTTGCCTCATTATGCACTCACGTGGATAAGTAATAATACCAAGATGCACACCCTCATGGTCCACTTAGTATGGTGCAAAATTTAAGGTTTCTAGGTTCTTTCCTCTTGGAGCTATGGCAGTCGAATATTCTTTTCTATGTGGTTTTTCACTACCTTACTTTATAAAAAGATGTGTACATACACATGGATAAGTGATAATACCCAGGTGCACACCCTCAAAGTCCACTTAGTATGTATGCAAGATTTCAGGTTTCTAGGTTCTTTCCTCTTGGAGTAATGACAGTCATACAAACACAGAGACCCACAGACATGCCCTTTTATTATTATTATAGATAAACACAAATTAATAAATATTTCTTGATAATTAGATTGTCTTCTTTACACCACCACATTCACCTGCTACTGTTTCAATTGTTGTAAATAATTCAGTACAATGCTTTATTATAAAATAATGAAAACAAAATTATGTTCATTATGTAGGTATCTTTCTTGATTGTTCTTGGCATAACAATAACAAACAAATATAAAATCACTTGACATTGGCCAAGGACTGACACTGTATTTTCCACTTACAATTTTAGGAACTGGATGTATATACATTAATCATATGACTGTTTTAATTAATAAAGGTTCTTTTCCTTATGGTAAAATACTTTACAAAGCAAATAGTATGATTCTTCATGCCCAACAAAAAATATTTGTTTTAAAACTTAAAATACATTTAACTCACAATTGACCCAGTCTTGGGGCCATTCCTTTAACTGACAACCAACTCAGTACTCACAAGAAAACAAGTAATCAAAATGTCTATTAAAAAGTGACTGCAGAAAAAAAAGTGTCCACTGGAAGGTGCGATTCTGAACAGTTTTAAGTTATTAGAACAGAAGCATTTTTCTGTAATCTGACACAGGTATTTACTTAGTACACCTATCACTTTGTGAAAAGCAATCAAAATTCTGGGTGTAAACCTGTTAGAGGTGCAGTTCTTTTTAAACAACAATTACATTTGTACTGTCTAGCATCAGTAGTTTGTTTCTAACAGCAGAGCTGAAGTAACCTTAGCTTCTGTTATGATATTTCTTCAGAACATCAGTGCATCATTACTTTCTTAATACAACTGTGGAATGAAATGGTAAATCTGAATGTCAAGTTTTTGTATAGGGGCAGATTCTTTACAGTAGGTGTGTGACTTACTGGCAACAAATGTGAACAATAAATGGGCAGCACACAATCCACTCGTTTTCAAAACAAGTCAAACGTCTGTACAAAAACTCATTACACTACTGGTTATCACAGTTGTATCTAAAACTCTAAATTATCTTTTCTTGTCAAAAGTCCACAAAGGCTAGTTCAGTTACTTCAGAACCCAATTGACAAGACAAATTATTTTTCTCTACTCTGTTTTTCACTATACAATCTGCAATAAATTCATTTATGTTACCCCATGGGTTACCACAGTTGTATCCAGAACTTTAAATAATTGTCTCCTT